AAAAGTTTAAAATTAGTCCGAGAAGAGCTGTGGTGCTTCCTGCCAAGAGTTATTTCTTTGGGTTTTATGTCCATAAACAAGTAACACTGCTAGGATCACTAGTCTAAAGCATTCACACAAGGGCCACCGCACTTCTGCTATTTCTGCACATTTGGGCCCCAATAACATTATGTGTAATTGTACAGATCACTAAAATTTTCTAGGATGAGAGGAATCTTTAATTCCAATAGTTTATGTTTCACTACAGCAAATTCAAAATAATATTTATAAATTGCTTAGCAAATAAGAATACCAAGCTGTTTAGCTATTGATTTATTTCCTTTCCTCTGGGTAGACAACTTAGGATAAGACAAAGTATTATAGAAGAATAATATTATTGCTCCATCCCTGGAAGCATTCAAGGCCAGGCTGGATGGGGCTCTGAGCAGCTTGACCTAGTGGGAGGTGTTCCTGCCCATGCAGGGGAGTTGCAACTCAATGATCTTTAAGGTCCCTTTCAACTTTAATCATTCTATGATCTATTCTGAGAAAAAGCTATATTAGAAGCAACCTTACTAAGCCACTTGTTAGAGGAACTGAAAATAAATTAGCAGTATGTTTCTGTACATTTATACACAGCAAAATTAAACTGATGAAACCCACTGAATTAAGCTTGATTTTTTTAGTTTCACACAGGAGTTGGCCAAAATATACATTTCGTTGATACTAGAAATTAATATAGACCTAATACTTTATATTATGTTCAGTATAACTACATATTCTCCCCATGTTATGTGGCAATATTTGCTCCACTCTCTTAGTGAATTGGCAAATACTGTTAGATAGCTAAAAACTGTGTGCGTGCCCTTAATAGAGACTTCAAAAAACACCTGTTTAATAAAATGACAATATATGTAAACTTTTCTGTGTACAGCTCTGAAGCCTTTAGCACAGGAAAGATACAGACCTGTTGGAAAGGGTCCAGAGGGGGGCTACAAAGATGACCAAAGGGCTGGAGCACCTCTGCTGTGAAAATGGGCTAAGGGAGGTGTGGCTATTCAGCCTGGAGAAGTGAAGGCTTCAGGGACACCTTATACTGGCAATTCAATACCTGAAAGGAGCCTAGATAAAAGATGGGGAGAAATTTTTCATCAGAGAATGTAGTGGTAGAACAAGGGGTAATGGTTTTAAACTGAGAGATGCTAGATTTAGGTTAGATATGAGGAAGAAATTCTTCACTGTGGGTGTAGTAAGGCACTGGAACAGGTTGCCCAGGGAGGTTGTGGAAGCCCTCTTCCTAGAGTTGTTTAAGGCCAGGTTGAATGAGGCCTTGTGCAGCCTGGTCTAGTGTGAGATGTCCTTGCTTATAGCAGGGAGTTTGGAACCTGATGTTTTTAAGGTTGCTTCCAGCCTTAACTCTTCTGTCATTAATTCTGTGAACATAATAATATCCCTCTTTCTGCATACAGAGAAGACTGTAGCCATGCAAAATTTGAGATCACAGGCACTTGTAGTTTAACATCTTGGGAACAATATTAATTCTCTCCTAGTAAAAACAACTCAGAACATCAGCTGACTCATACTCATAGTTTGTTAGTTTTTATCTCATTTTGCATATGTTAGAAAATCTCTTTCCTGAGAAGATGTGTAGGAAAAGCTGTTGAAAGTCTTCCATTGAAGAGCTTGTGTCTCTAACCTGATCAGAAGTCCTGAAATTCCTCAGACTCTTCATGGGGCAAAAAAATAAAATTGAAAAAAACAACAATGATTAACAGTTGTTGTCACACAAAGATGAAAAGCAGTCTTTCCAGATTCTAGGAAAGAGTTGTTGACCATCACATTTCTTTAGGTTTTTCTTCAGTGGCTCAGTGCAGCTGGCATAAATTTATGCCTGAGTGGATACAGTTCAGGCAGTTCTGTTGTTCCGTCCTGGAACAAATTTCTTAGATCTTGAATCACAGTAGTCATCTCCTGAAACTTAAAAACTTTGCAGGCTGTAGGTGATTTGTTCACAATTCAGAATGATTCTTCAGTATATCCATTACAAGTGTTGCTGTTCTTGCAGTGATACTAATATAACGAAAAGGCATAGTCAGTCATACTAGCAACCACCTACACATGCTCTAGAAATACACTGATGAATTCAATAGACTAGTGACACATGGATTTGCTCATAGACAAGAATGAGTTTTTTTCTTAATTGCTTTACTGTAATTCCACAGGAAAGATTATCCAAAACTAATTCTCCAAAAGAGTCTCAGAATAACAGCTTGGGCAATTTACTGCCCCTAGTAAAATACAGCAGCTCTTACTTGGAAAAAAATACAATGTTGTACTACCTAGAGAGAAAAAAATAATCCTATCATTGTTCCAAACTTGTGAGTTCATTTCTTTCTGCTGAAAACAATGTAAAGAAATAGATTTTAGTCTTTGGCCCAAAATCCTGATATTTTCAGGAACATAGAAAATGCAGTATATTTTCATTCTGCAATTTCCTATTGACATTGGCAGTAGGTCAGCAATGTGTTAACTTCTACTCCCCGGCACATTTTAAGGCTTCATAAGATTCTTAGTTTTATAAAGCTCTCCATGGATCCATCTTCCCTTGAATTCAGCTGAAGCTTTGTTATTTTATAAAGCAACAACAGACTTAGTCCAGTGTTGAGAGCTTCTCAGACACTTATCCTAGAAAACTACCACTGATTTACAAGAGTTTAAAGCCTTTAAATCACACCACCAAAAAAGAGAAACTATTTTCAGTGTAGTGTAGCCCACTACATGTGTTTATTGGAAAAGCTACCTGAACAGAAGCAAAAATAATCTCCTAACAGCTAGCTTTAAATGAGCAAATTATGAACAAAGTAATAATTTACTGAAAATCTTGAAGTAAGAAAGTGTACAATATTTAAAGTCGTTCAGTTTTATTATCAGACTCTTCAGTGTCTGAAGAGAGACCACTTGAAAATATAGTTTTGATTCTGTCTCTGCTGAATCCAACTCACAGTATTCTCAGATATTCATCCCTTCTTCATTAATAATAGTTGTTATTTTCCTTTTCTAAATGCAGCCTTTTTGTTCCATGCCACAGTAGGAAAAAACAAACAAACAAACAAACCTGTGGCTGTGCCACAATGTATACATCCATGATGTTTAATTACTGAGGTGACATAACAATATTGGTATACAGAAGTTCAGGGTGCTCTTAGTTTTGTATTTTCATATTGACTCATCATATATGAGTCATTGTGTGTAGATTCTTGGGTCCCTCCCCCACCTCTATAATTTGATACTAGTGTTAGTTACAAAATTAGTGTGTTAGTTATAAGATTTTAAGGCCACTTTTTATCTCAAGAAGAGTTCCTGCATGTGGGGCTTGTGCTTTTTTCCCACAGGCTACTTGGGGCCACAGTCAGTTTCACTTTTCACTGTTTGTTTGCTGTTTCTAAGGAAAGAAGTATTATCTGTAAAATGAATCTGAATAGGTCTTTTGTTCTTTTTCCTTATGAAACTAATAGCAGAATAACCCTTCAGATTAATTTTTGGGGTTTATTTTTTAACCTGGCAATATTTTTTGAAGTAAACACATGTTTCAGATTAATGATAAAAGCAGATTTGTATTTCTTCTCACTTGTCTAGGTATGTCTGTAAGAACAGCAGGCTTTATTAGAACAGAAGATTTGCTGCAGTGATTGCTTCAGCTGAATGTGTTGAAATAGCCTTGTGCCCTTACCAGCATAATTCATTGCAAAGTGTTACATATTTGGTTTTAAAGCTGTGAAAAAAAGGCTCTGTGTATTTACATTATCTGGGGACAGTTTGCTAAACTGGCAGCAACAGCATGCCTGGTGGTTAATACTCTTTATGTATTGGCTTTCTGACTCTCACAGGGCCTTTGCATACATCTAGACAACAAGTTCCTAGATAAAACCTTCCCTGTCAGGTAGATTGTTTTAAAGCTTGTGGAAAACACCAAGGGACTACTGTGTTGCTAAAAGCAGAATTTTTACCTATCCTTTTGCTGAAAATATTAAAGGATACCTGTATTTTAATACTTACCAGTTTACTGGTATAATGTAGTTTTCTCTGAAGTTTTTGTTTGTGCTGTGGTTCATATTATAAACATTCATCAGCAGATTATTCCAGAAAGAGGATAATCCTTTCTGTTGAGAAGCTGTATAAAAAGGGCTACTAAAAGGAGTGAGCATTTAAAAGGAATAAATGTAGAGGATAAATGCTGTTATGATGAAAACATCAAGAAACTACTACACTGTTTGCCAGAGAAGAAACAGAGAAACTAATAAGTTAATTTGGATGGTAACTCTAAAAGCTTAGAAGAAATTGAGCCTGGCTGGGACTTTAAATACTAAGGCTTAAAGTATGTTGTCACATGAAACGTGGCTGTTGCTCCATGTAAAGAAGAGTCAAAGATAGATCAGAGAAGCATAAAATGATTGGAGTAACAGTGTTTGGTATGCACTTGTAAATTAAATATTATTATAACAATTATAAAATGAAAAAAAAAAAAAAAAAAAAAAAAAAAAAAAAAAAAAAAAAAAAAAAAAAAAAAAAAAAAAAAAAAAAAAAAGTTTAATTTATACAGACATGTCCTGCAATGTCAAACATTTTTTCTCTGGGGTAACTATGTGACTTCAAATAAAGTTAATCTGTATTAACATGAGTGTTGTGAAGAAGCTGTGTGCACTTGTGAACAGTTTCACTGATTTAGTAGAATAGCTTTCTGAAATCATGTATAAGCATAAAGCTTAAAAAATAGTACATAGCCATGTCCATTGCTTCCTTATATTCTCCAAGTAATATTTTGCCATGTCAGCTTTGTTTATAATTTGCTAATGGTTTGAGTGAGAAAACAATAACTTATTCCACTATCCAAAATGCAACTGCATAGTAAACTAGCAGACAACACATTAGCTCTAGAACATTGTAAATACAAGTAATGGTATTTTATACAAAGCACATATATATATTTATAGGTGTTCTAATAATTTATTTTGGTATTGCAGGGAACAGCATACTCCATTCAGCAGCAGACAGTGTGACAAGCGCGGTACAGAAGGCAAGTCAGGCTTTGAATGAGCGTGGCGAAAGGCTAGGTCGAGCAGAAGAAAAGACAGAGGAGCTGAAAAACAGTGCGCAGCAGTTTGCAGAAACTGCACACAAGGTAAGATTTTGGTGGGATAAAGGGTCCCAGTAGGTTAAAGTCACACATTCATTTATTTGCTCTTTTCCTTTATACTGTTCTGCACTTAGCAGATTTCTGGGTTATAACTACTTCTGGGCTAAAGATCTGAGGTTTGCTGCTTTTCCAATTGAATTGAAACTGCCTGTCTTCACCCTTCTGAAGCATATTTCAAATTCATCTTACCACTACTGTTTGGCACTATTTCTTATATGTTGTGCAGCATATAGTGAAATTGCAGTTGCCTTTGATAAGAAGTCATAGGTTGGTGGCTGTGGTTCTGAAGACATACGTATTATGTGTAACACATGCACAGCAGACAGAATGCTTTTTAAAAGAAAAGGTAAAGCGTTTTCTGAATGTAAGCAACCAATTTAGCATGCAAGTTTGATAGTTTTGCTACTTAGCATATGCACTAGGCTTTATCATGTTTATGCCAAAAATCCCTGGCTGCTGCATCAACACTAGAAATCCTGGATTGATATATTTTGGTTTTATACAAACCTCTGTATTCTGTAGTCTTTAAATGTCACAAAACAACTTGTTTCAACATTTACTGGCATAATCCTTTCCTTGTGGTCCATTTAGATTAGCATGATTAAGTTTAGTGGCCTGAGTATGTATGAGCCTGCTCTTAGACTCTTCCATCTAATACTGTCACCTTCCACACCCAAGCCCCCAGTGATGATAACTATGCCAACTTAGAAAACCAACCTTAAACAGCAGCCACTACTGCTTCTAGGGTAGACGGCACATAGTTTGCTGCTTTATAGTAAAACATAGAGTGCTGCTTGGTAGGAAGTTAAAAAATGAAAAATGCATCTGATAAGTGGGCTGCTATGAATCTTGATTAGGATTTTAATAGGTTTCATTAGTGTGTGTTGCCCTTTCGTTTCCCACATGCACAGAACAGCAGTTCCACAGAGGAAGACATACTATGAGCAGAAACAAATATTTTCAACAAGTTCTGTTAAGAAAATCTCATTTTAAAAATGTCAGAATTAAATCATGCAGTATTGTAATAAAAATATCATATTGTTAGCCTGTTCTGTACCATATTTGGAAATAAAAGTTTACAAAATATTGATGTGATAATTAAAAACAAAAATCGAAGGGGAATATAGCACGAATGGTGAAGAAGCTAAAAACATACACAGTGGAAGCATTTTATTAATTAAAAAGAGAAAACTCTCAATCAGGATTTTGTGTGTAGTCATTTGAATCTATGTGTCTCTGTGGCAGTAAATGAGAACAGTTTCTGCAGGAAATGTCTATGTGAGTTAGAATAGAAAAGGATAATCTCCATTTGGACTGTGTGGTAGACTGAGATCTATGAAACCATCCTGCCAGACCAGTTCTACAGGTCAGCAGTCTTCATCAGATGAGTTTGAGCTTGAGCTGCTATTCAAATGTTAGGTGTTGTTTGAACAGAAAAGAAAAAATATGATGCCAGTGAAACCAGAAAAGTGAACTCCAGCTGAGTGTCACTTAAATGACAAAATTGTGACTTTCTGGCAAAACAGTGACAGTGAAGAGAAAGGCACCAATTTTAACTTACTAGTGTATGTGAGCACTTTGTGCAGCAAAGTGGAGTTCCCATTTTGGTTTCCTTCACTAATATCATAAAAGTACTTTGAATTTGAAGCCCATAATTAATTTCACTATAGTATCATGACTGGTTAGGGATTTCTCTTACACTTAAATTTGTATGTCTGGACATTACTTGGGCAACAAACAGGAGCAGCTGGAGAACTATGTTATGGTTGCAACCACAGAAACAAGGTGGGATAACTTGTGTAACTGGAGTGCTGCAATGAATGGCTATAAACTTTCCAAAAGGGTTAAGCAAGGAAGGAGAGGTAGTGGGGTGGCCCTGTGTGTTAGGGTGCATTTTACCTGTCCAGAGCCAGACGATGGTGATAATAACAGAGTTGAGTGCTTTGGGGTAAGAAACAGGAGGAAGACCAACAAGGCAGATAAGGTGGTGGGAGTCTGTTGTAGACCAGCCAACCAGGATAACGAGTCAGATGAAATATTCTACAAGCAGCTGGGAGAAGTCGCATTACATCTAGCTTTTTTTCTTATGGGGGACTTCAATTTGGCAGACGTTTGCTAAAAATAAAGTACAGCAGAGAGGAAACAGTTTTGGAAGTTCCTGGAGTGTGTGGAAGATAACTTCCTGACACAGCTAGTGAGGTAGCCAACTAGGGAAGGTACCCTGCTGGATCATTTTTGTGAACAGGAAAGAACTTGTGAGTGATGTGATGGTTGGAGGCCATCTTGGGCATAGCAGTCATGAAATCATAGAGTTTTAGATTCAGAGGTCAGCTGAACTGTTACCTTGAACTTTCAGAGGGCAGACTTTGGCCTGTTTAGGAGCCTCATTGACAAGAGTCCCTTGGGAAGCAGCCCTAAAGGGCAAAAGAGTCCAGGGGGATTGGATGCTTTTTAAGAAGGAAGTCTTAAAGTTGCAGGAACAGGCTGTCCCCATGTGCTGAAAGATGAGCCATCAAAGAAGACCAGCCTGGCTGAACAGAGAGCTTTGACTGAAGCTCAGGTAAGAAAGGAGAGTTTATGATCTTTGTAAGAAGGGGTAGACCATGCAGGCAGACTACAAGGATGTTGTGAGGTTATGCAGGGAGAAACTTAAAAGGGCCAAAACTAAACTAGAACTTAATCTAGCTACTGCCATAAAAGATAATAAAACACATTTTACATAAATACATGAGCAAAAAAAGGAGGGTGAAGGAGACTCTCCATCCTTTATTGGATGCTTGGGGAAACATAGTGAGAAGGGCTGAGGTACTTAATGCCTTCTTTGCCTCAGTCTTTAGTAGTAAGACCAGTTGTTCTTGGCATATGCAGCCCCCTGAGCTGGAAGATGGAGATGGTGAGCAGAATGAGGCCCCCATAATCCAAGGGGAAATGGTTTGCAACCTGCAACACCACTTAGACACACACAAATTTATGGGACCAGATGAGATCCCTCCAAGGGTACTGAGGGAGTTGATGGAAATGTTCACCAAGTCACTTTCCATCATTTATCAGCGGTTCTGGCTAACCAAGGAGGTCTCAGCTGACTGAAAAGCAGGTCCTGCTTGACTAACCTGATCTCTTTCTATTACAAGGTGACCCACTTATTAGATGAGGGAAAGGCTGCGAGTGTTGCCTAATTAGACTTCAGTAAAGCCTTTGGCACCATTTGCCACAGCATTCTCCTGGAGAAACTGGCTGCTTATGGCCTGGACAGGTGTATGCTTTGCTGGGTAAAAAACTAGCTGGAAGGCTAAACGAATAGAGTTGTGGTGAATGGAGTAAAATCCAGTTGGATGCCCGTCACAAGTGGTGTTCCCCAGGGCTCGGTGTTGAGTCGAGTTCTCTTTAATATCTTTATCAATAACTGGACAAGAGGATTGAGTACACCCTCATTAAGGTTACAGGTGATGCCAAGTTGGCTGGTAGTGTTGATCTGCTTGAAGGAAGGAGGATTCTGCCCAGGAAAGTGGTGGAGTCACCATTCCTGAAGATGTTTAGAAGACATGTAGATGTGGTGCTGAGGGACATTGTTTAGTAGTGGGCTTGGCAGTGTTAGGCTTAGGGTTAGATTCAATTATCTTATACAATTTTTCCAAAATAAATGATTCTGTGATTCTTCTTCAGTTCTGTGTCAGGTCATTTATGATGTAAAACATATAATGTAGACAGTGGAAGATGCATGACATAGGAATACCCTTCCTAGTATCTTTAAAAAACACCTTAGTCACTTGTAAAAAAAAAACAAACAAAACAAACAAACAAAAAAAACCCACAGAAAGAAAAAACCAAACATTTAGTTTGCAGGAGAAACAATAGCACTTACAGAGTGGTTTTGTTTTGGCTATCCAAGTTTGTTGATTGAAAACATATATCTGTATTTTGTTGTGTAAAGCCTGGAACTTAATTCAGGGTATCTATCAAATCCTTCTTATGACACCTTCACCTTCTTTGCCTCTAAAAAATTCCATCCCCGTGTTGGTGACTGTGCAGAAGGTCAAAGTTATGAATTCTGTATATTAAAAACTTACTGTCAGTTGCCTGCTGAAGACATATTTTTCTGAAAAGAATCTTGTTTGAAGGAAGAAAGAAAAGTGTTGGTTGGTGTTCTTTCATGCTGAAATACCTTTCCAGTGTATCTCTACAAATAACATTTTTTGGTGTTTTGTTTTTGTTGTTTTGTTTTGGTTTTTTTTTAATGGAATGGTTGTGACCAGGTCATTGAGTATCACAGGCTTCTGTCAATTAATTCAGTTTATTTCAGCATTTCACTGGTAGTAAATTAGGGAATTTTAACTGCTCCTACCAGTTCTGGTTGCTATATAGCAGACTAAAGCTAAGTTCTCTGCTTGGTTTGCCAAAGTCAGTTTGTCTACACTTTTTGTGTGGGATTTAACTCAATTTAACTTTTTATTCTCTCTCATTCCCAGTTCTAAGTCCATTTTTTAATTATTTGAAATGAAAATTATCAGCTATCACAGAGGCAGAAAGGCAATCAGTCCTTAGTTTTTCACCACAATGTAGTGACAGAGCTGCTGAACAGGCACTGTAAATTACTTCTCTAGAATTTCTGATTTAACAATCCAAATCATTAGGTCTAAATGGCAGTTCTTTTAAGCATGTCTTAGTTTCTAGTGTCTTGCTCTAGCTCTCCTCACAGACACCAAAATGATGTAACATTAGGAAGCACAGCTATGAAAGCACATAAGTCCTGCTTCCTCAGCAAAGCAAAGGGAGGCTTTGCCAGTCTGTCACAGTAAAGAGAACAACTGCATATCTGTGTGCAAAGAAGTTAAGGATTTCAGGTATCCTTTGTAGAATTCTGTTTACACACTCTTCTGATTCATGATAGCCACATTAGCTGTTGTTTCATGTGATCTCCCTTCAATTATTTTTTTCTTTCTTTTTCAGCTTGCCATGAAGCACAAATGCTGAGATACTGCCCAAAGTTGAAATCTTCCCAAGAGAAACTGAACAGGCTACGCTCAGCAGCTTTTACTGGAGATCCAGACTTCTCTGTCCTTTTTTCTTCCAGTTCAGTGGAGATGCATTCTTTGAGTTTCTGTGCAGGAAAAAGTGTTGCATTTCTACCTTTTTGACTTACTTTTGTTCCTCTTTTGTAATATTGCTACATAGTCCTACAGTACTTTCTACCTGTATTTCAATTGTTACAGGAGTGAAAGCAGACAGGGGAACAGGACCAAACAACAAGCTGATCAGGATTAAAATAGTAATACTACTCTGCAGTTGTACAGAAAATTATTTAATTGGTTGTAGACATTTGTGGAAATAATATCCAAAGAAGGCATATACTGCATTTTATGTAGCATCAGCAGAATGTGAATATTCAAAATAAACACTTGGGCTTGTAACTCTAGTGGGGAATAGACTGATTTGTCTGGGGAAACAGAAAAACTATTTTCTTCTACCCAGTTCAGGAAGTTTTGCATGTGTCATTCCAGCATCCGGAAGTGCATATCTGAATTAAATAGGGGACTCTGTTACCAGTGCTGCATTTTTAATATTCTTGCTTCTGGATTGATAATTTGAATAGTATAGTGAAACCTATAGAATGTATGCTTGAGGTTTCAAAATTGAGGGGAAAAAAGTAATTTTAACATCTACACACACATAGCTGTGCTTCAAACACAATCTAGAATTTAACAATCTGGTATAAAATAACTTTTCATTTTCTTTTTACCTGTGGCTAAAGACTTACGTAAATGAAAATGCGAAGGCCTGAGGAAATGAGAATGCACTATTTTCCAAGTCATCTGTTTTTCATAAATTCACAGGAACAGCTTTTGGGAATGCTTCAGAAATTTCTCTGATGAGAATGACTTTTGTGTTAGCTAGTAGTCTGATTTTTAAAATATAGTCTTTCAAAAGGCATGTATTGGTGCATTAGAGTCATAACTTCTAGTCTGGGTCTCAGTTTTCAATATATATTATCACTGGAAGGGTGACTCTACTTCATTCTGTATTCACAATATGCAGTATAGGCACTGTATTCTCGTATAAAAGTTAGTAGGTTACACTTCTTTCATAGCTGTTTTCTTAGCATTTTTTAAGATGTCCTATTATGCTTCTAGAGTGAAGGAAAAAAAGAAAAAAAAAATCCTGCACCTTTTTACTTTTTTTTTTTTATACTGGTAAGCTAGAAAAAGAAAGTTTCAGCTTTCATCTTCTGAAGATGCCTACTATTCTTTTTTGTCCTCATCTTACCGGAGAGCCAGAAAGCTGGCATTATATGAATGTACTGTAGTTTTCATTTTCTATGTAAAATAAGATTTTTGCATTATTAATGACACTTTAAACAGTCTAAAATCCTCAAAGCGGTGCTTATGAGAGAGATAAAAACGTCTGTAATAACTGAGAATATTTTAGTTACTGCAAGCTGAAGTAACTGAAAATCTGTTGGAAATACTCATTTTGTAAAAAGATGCTTGGCTGTGGGAAAACATTCTCATTTGAACTAAAGACACTGTCTAGTTAACTGATTGCATTCAAACTTCACTTTTTTTTTTTCCCCTGAAATTTAAGCTGTTTCGTTTAAAGGTTTTTATTTAATTTCACACTGGGAATTATGAGAAGGGGTAAATTTGTCATCTGCGCAGTATCATACAATTATTTGGATTATTTAGCATCATCTCTTTAACAGTTACTACATCCAGCACTGTCAACTGAAGAGGAATTTGACCACATCTGTTATAAATCAGAACAGGCCCATTAACAACACGAGTTCTGAATACTCTGTTGAGCTATGTACAATTAATGCTTGTCCTGGAGATATCAGTAGCTTATTCAGTGATATTATAATGGCTGGGTATTTCTGCAAATTAACCAGGAAAACAGTCTTTCATTAGAAGTTAAACTTCTGCTAGAGATAAAATGTTAGGCTATTTTTTTTTTAATAGCTGCATTATAAATCAGGGGGTGCATTTTTGACCACGTAACTATCTTCTGTCATCATCCTGCCCACTCTTTAAACTATGTTCTGCTGCTAACCTCACAAGTCTTTCTGTTGAGACAAAGAAGGAATAGGTTTTGAACTGCTGCCATCTAGCTAGTCTTCTAAGCTAGTCAATAATTTGGAAGAAACATCTAAAACCCAGAACAGATAAATCTGAAAAGAATTTGTTGTCTAAATCAGGTAAAATGGCATAGGTTTTCAGCTGTTTACATGATTATCAGCTGGAAAGGACAAGGTTACAGTTGCACTGCTAAGTTCCAGACCTTTTGTGAGTTGAACTGTTCTAACCATTACTTTAGTCTCACTAACAGTTTTTTCACTTTTTTTTTCATCCTCCAGTTAAGTGTTTTGGTTTATGTGTCATAACTCAGGATTTTTATCCAACTATCAAAAGCCATTTACTATGGAAATTCTAAGAAACCTAGTGTCATTAAATGAAGGAAAAGCAGTTTTTCTGTGAATTTACTTTGTTTTTGCTGTTCATTAAACTATGAGATCTGGTAGTTTTTAGAAAAAAGTCAGAAGTATGTAAATGTCTATCCAAAGGTAAATCTTACAGCATTGCAATTTCCTTCTGGAAGTTAGCTTGTAATGTATACAACCTAGTATTATTAGATAGCTATGTACATAAAGTATATTACAATTCAGGTTATTGTTTCATATGAAAGAATGTATTTGTAAATTGTAACAACATTAATAGTTTCTTTATCTTTTTAAAGTTCTGCAAAGAAAAAAAAATGTGTTGTTAGACTTGACTACTGTAATGTAAATTCTGTCTTAAAAGGCTACTTTTGTGTTTAGCAAAAGTTGTGCATTATGTGAAATATTAACAAAAATGTGCTCTCAAAGTTCTCAAAGATCTAGAATTTATTTTGTGCCATTCTAGGTAAGGGGAAAAAAAACACAAAAACGTGGGACCTGCTCTCTTGAGTCATTACTGGAAACCTTGATTTTGTCATTAAATAATATAACTGTGATGGAAAAAAACCTGTCCTTGGATTATTTGAGTTTTCTGTTCAAAATATAAGTTATTTGTAAATGACATTTTTATATTTCACTCTAGCAAAACTGAATAAAAACTAGTTTCCATTGTAATGATGAATTTTTTTTCTAGAATAAATAATGTAATTATAATAGAAGTAATGGGAACTAGGTTGAAGGATTTAATGTCCAAGCAGATTCCAGACAACAGTTAACACCAGTTAAAGTTGGCATACCTAAAGGCTATGCAGGTTAAAAAGAACTTCTATGTTAATTTGCTTTTAATTTGCTATGAGATGCTTATTCTCAAATTGCTATTGTTTTCTTTTTGCCATCTAATATTAATGATAATTTTATTAAAGCAAAAGCAATTTTAATTGTCCTGTGGGAATAAAACTATAAAGGTAGAATTTTTCTATGCTCAGAGGAGCAATCCCATATATTTGAATGAAGGCTATTCACAGAAGAATATGAACTGATTTTGCTGCCGTCTCTTTTTTTCAGGCTTAAACGTCGTCCCTAAGATCTTAATCTTGTCCAGCTAACTATTATAACCTGGTTAAGTTACCCTTATTGGTAACTTTTGCTAGAATCCATGTCATTCATCTGATGTTGAATGTCATACATGCCCAATGCCCCAACTGTGAAACTTTCAGTAAAAGAGATAGATCTCTGGTGGATCAAGAGCAAACTTCATCAGAACAGCATTTTGTTGTAGTTTACACATAACAATCTGGCAGTTATTTCTCCATGAGCATAGTACATTTGTCCTTTAAGAATAGAATACAAGAAGTTTGGTTCATTTTCTGAACATTTTTTAAATCAACTTTAGCATATTGGCATTTTTTCTTCATCTTATGGTTTTCATAAATCAACAGCGTAATCTGCTGCTGCTGTTTAGAAATTATGATCAAGATGATGAGGTTTTGTTATCCTTTGAGTTGCAGAAGGTCAAACATGATTGTTTACTGTTCAATATATTAGGATTTCTAATTGAGAGGTATGGAAGTATGTTGTGTTGAAGAATGTTGTTGCTGCCACACTCCTGAAAGCATATTTGACTGCAAAAATCAAACTAAGATACCTGTCACCTTCATTTACAAGTCACAATAACACTGACATGAACTACTTCAAGTAGGAAGCAGATCGGTAGACCTATCCAGTACTTGCTAATGTTTCTACTGTCTCAAATTGGAAATGGCTTTAAATTTTTTTCAAAATTAGTCCCTCATGGAAGTGGTCAGCCAGCAGTGGGGTAATGACATGAACTTGTATAAACAATAGATTTTTTCCAAGTATTCTGAAATGTCAGCATTCTCTTTATAGCATATCATATCAGCTTGTTTTGTGCATCATCTGGAGGCACTGTATGGTATAATATATGTTTCAATTACACTTTTTTTATTATTTGTTACTATCTTTTTTGTCTGCTGTCACCTCATGCAATCCAAATTCTCATGTAATTTTTAAATAGGTAATTATTGTGGTAGTGGCTAGCTTTGGCAGCAGTTGACTAGGGATTATAGACACAAAAAAGTGGTTTCATATTCCTTTTTGCAGGGACTGAACTACTAATCTGAGTGTAAAAATACTGTTACCTGGAGGCATAGTAGTATGGCGGATCATCAGTCGCCAGACCAAGTATTCAGGGTATAGAAGTAAGCTTTGTTAGCTAGGGAGGTTAGATGGCTTTTGAAGCATATAGAATAGACTTCTTACAAAGTCCTAACAGAATTTTTAAAAATTCACAGGTCTTTGGTAAATAATACAATGATAACTTTTGCAGAGGAACCGAAGTTCAAGCCTGTGTTGTGTTTAAATTGTGTTGCTGCTTAAAAAGGGAGGACAGAGGGGTTTTTCTGTCTTAAGTGTTCTGTTCTGGATAAAACAGAAAGAAAGGTTGATAAAAATAAACCAGAAAAATGTGATAGTGTTTCATACTATATAAAAAAAATAAAATCTTCAACATATGCAAAAAAGA